TTTTACCTTTTCAGCTAGTTACAATAATATGTCTAGAATATATTCACTGATACAGAAAGAACCAGAAATATAAAAGCATGGGCAAGGTTGCTAATGGTTGATATGTGACATTCTATTCACTCTACAGAGAAATCAGAAGGAGATGATATTTTAAAAAGCACAAAGACCTCAGGCCAGAAGAGATCTGGATTATCAGTGTGAGATACTGCTTTCTCAGTATATAAAGCACCTCATGAATTTATTAAACTGTAGGATTTAAACTTAGAGTAAACAATGTAGAAAAATAATGGGAAAAATCAACAAAAAGTAAAATCATTGGATTCTTTTGAAAAATTGGTTTTGTTTGGGCCTGAGGTGTAATTGCTTAGAACAGGGTCTGCAGTCCTCCCTGTAGTTTAACCTCTAATACATACCTTTATACACTGTGTGTAGTTCTGTGTCACTGTTAACCCAAATGGAATAATACTTTCACTCTAGCCTGTTTCATGTGACTCTTCCTGTGTTAGCATATTTAAAGTGCTAAAATCATGATACCAGCCCTTTGTTTCATTAAATTTATCTGCTTTATGTAGGTGTGCTGTTGCTGTATACATGAGAGCCTATGGATCTTCTGTAGGCACAGTACTTCTGCACACAGCTGGCAGGTGAGCTTTCAGAAAAATTTGTGTAGAAGCCCTTCACCCCTGTGAGCTCTGTGGACAAGATTTTCAGGCTGAGAAGGACTAAGAGTGGATCCAAGCTCCCAACCCTTGGTGATGAAGACCATTGAAAATCCCTCTCATGTTTTCTAGCCATACTTTCTTTGCTGTCATCTCCCCAGACAGATGGTCTGAATCTGAGCAGTTTTTGTCAGCCTGAAGGTAGAATGTCTCAGGGAGGCAAGTATCAGTAACAGTAACAATGAAAGATAAATATTCACGTTCAATGAACAGCTAAATCGGGCCTGTCTAGGCAACTGATCGCTAGGTATATGCGCATTTGGATGGCACAGTCCTGTCCAGGGGAGCCTCTTGAAGCAGTGAGCACTATCTGCTAGTCTAGGATAAGCAGAAACCAGAAGAGTTTGTGCAAGGGGGTGGTTCACTGGCACTTGAGAAGATGCAGTGGCTAGCTGCATCAGCAAACAGAAGGTTCTCCTCTTGCCCTCCTTATTTTCCTACTTTCCACCTCCTTTGTCCCATCTCTCTTTTCTGTGACTGTGTATGTTTTTACCCTCTCCATGGGTCTGTTGCTCACTGGATCTTTCTGGGAGAAGACCTAACTCAAAAAGCTCAAACACACTCAGATTTTTTTTTCCCCCTGGATTGATTTTCTGCTATTATGATAAATTAAACTGGCTCAGAGAGGACTGAAGTGTGCCAAAGCCAGCATCAGACATGCAGAAGAAGCAAGCACATGATGTTGATTGTGAATAAAAGCAGGCAAAGATGTGGAAAAAACAGAACAGTAACTCAACTTTGGGCAGATTCAAGCTGCAGTGTTTATTCACCATGTCTTTTGTCTAAGATCAGAACATAACTCTAAAGAATAGTAATTATTTGTTTGCCCAGGGATGACCTTTGTGTACATACAGCCTGAAATGTCTGTGCTCTGGACAAGTCTCATGTATTGCCAGTATACTACTAAAGCTCTCTGAGTCTTGAATCCTAATAACTTGAGCTCTTTTGTTCTAACCCAGTTCTTTCAAACCAGAACCCTCACAGCCCTTGTTTGTTTGGTGTAGCTACTGCAGCATACAAATTCCAGTATCTAAGGCAATATCCTTCTACAAGGTCCCCTGAGAGAGAATCATTTGCATTAAAGTTAGCACAGCAGTAATGTTATTTGACATATTTCATGGAGACACATCCCAAGGCATTGTCATTAATCCCTGAAATGCAGCAAATACATTAAAAGCAAAACAGGCAATTAAAAAGCTTTAAAAAAGAAAGCGAGATTGCCTTAGCATACAGAAACAAATACAAAACTCTCTCAAGTCAATTTCACAAATTCAAAACCATTAATAACAGGATTGTTCTTTCTCCACTCAATTGTCATTGGAACTTTGGCATTTGCAGTAGTCATAGAGCAGACTGTCTTTAGGGCTGTAATTACATAATGAACTTGGACAATGAAGACACGAGACTATTTTAAAGCTTGGTAAACTATTGGAGTAACCTTTAGCATCAATCCTATAAAAGGCCAGAAGTCTACAGGGAAATATCATTGATTCATTATATTCTGGCTGACCTTAGTGTGAAGTAGATTACAGACAATAACATTTCAGGCTGTCTCTAGACCAGGCAGGATATCATTAGCCCAGCAAATGAAGCATTGCATTAATCACTCCTGTGCTAGGACTATCATTTTATGGAAGACAAAAAAGCGCCCTGGCTTATGGCTAACCCTCTGTGTCTCTTAAACTACTCCACTTTTAATCCCCTAAATATAGTTTTTGATTTTAAAAAATTTATTATTTTATTCATTTGAAAGGTTTATTTATTAACACACTGAAGAAATGTTTAGCAAGAACCGAAAGTTGCTGATAAGACAGTAAAATGGTTACTAGATTGATGCCATTTTCACAAACAGTAAGGAAAATAAGCTTCCACCTCTCTGTAAATTGCTCTCTGACCTGTACTACCCTGCCATAAGGGGAAGTCATTGGGGAGCTCCCCAATCAGGCCTTTTATTATAATTGATGTTATTGTAGAACTGCATGTTCGTCAATTTGAGACTGTACTAGGTGTTGCACAGTCACAAAATTCAAGTGTGAGTAGATGTTTATGCTGCTGCATATTGCCTTAAGTGTCGATAACACACACAAAAAAAGTAAGAAACTATATAAATGGTTCAGATCTTCAATGCTAAGTAGAAAAAAGCTGATGTAAATACCCTATGAATCAGCCATTCCCAGTCCCTCTGCCCTAGAGAAGAGACTGAACACCCATCCACTGCAAAGCAGTGAAGTGCCATGGGGCCTGTGGACTTGCAGTCCTAGGAGCAGCACAAATCTAGCTCTATCCTCCCTCTGGTTTGCACCATGTTGCTTCAGGTTCTTCGTTTTTCCTACTCTGAAGAGTAGGAAAAAACTGTGTAGCAGCACGTGGCTGGGCCTGAGGTGATGGGGGAGGGAAGAGACAAAGAGAGGAGCAGGGACTCCCGGAGGAAGTTCCAGGAGGAGAGGGGAAGATCCAAGAGAACGTCCAGCCCCCCGGAGAGCCTTTATCAAAGGGGGCTCCAAGGTGGGCTGGAACAGGACCTGGGCCAATGGGGTCACAGACACCTGATGGTTCAGGGGAGGGTTACAGGTGTGGGGTGAGCCATACATTCTGGGGGGTGAGATGGAACAGTCCATTTGGCTTTTTGGACCCCTCTGTAGGTGAGGGTGATTGTCCAGCCAGTAGGGGCGTTATATTCGTCCTGGCTGTACTATTGTGGATCTTAATCATATTTATCTACCCTTCCCAACATGGTCCTATTCCCAAAGAACAGAAGATAAAATAATTTGGTTGAAATACCTGAAAATGTGTACTAAAAGGACTATTAGACAGCATCTGCCAGAGTAACATTTTTGTCTTGCTGAAATACTTTTTGTAGGAAGATAGTCTATCAATATAAACTCATTTGAATATAATACTGGTATGAGGAATGATTTGACTACCTATTAATTGAGACGAGATCCCTACCAACACTCACACCATTTTTGCTAGCTCTACTTGTCCTTGTTTATATTTATTTGCATGTTTTCTTGGGGCCAAATTACAATATATCTTGGTCTTAAGGGTTATTATAACTAATGATATACTTACAAAAAGTGAAATTGCTATCTAAGCCATTAAAACAGCTGACTGAAAGATTAAGACATATATCTGGATAGATGAAATATTCTTTGCAGTTCCTGTATTATGGGCCAGCTATTTAATGTCTTAACTCAGTTTTAATAATTTCATTTGTAGGCAAATAATCACTGTCAATGTTGCACGAATTTGTCATAAACTAAATAGAATCATGAGGATTTTGATGAAAAGCAATAAAATATGTACAGAAGTGTTGAAAGTCTGTGAATTACATTATCAAAGAGATTCATAGTTGCTAAACCTGAAAAATCCTAAAGACAGGCTCTAGCTCATCAAAATTGGCTCTAAGTGTGGACATAGGCATGTCTCACGTGAGTGGAATAGAGTGACCCAAGATCTAGGCATCTTCTTAAGGAAAGCAGAGCATGTCGACTGAGTGCAGGGCTTAGAACTCACCATATTGTGATGCTATGACATGAAGCATTTAATTTTCTGAGGAATGTGTAAGCAGTACAAAATTGGTTATAGTAGCTGAGATCTAGTATATGAGGCGTCTTCACATAGGGGTGCTTGTTTCCCATGAGGGCTTTATCTGGGCTATAGTAGGATAAATTAAGGTAAATTTCCCCAGCATTTTCATTGGCATTTTTGTGCTGTTACTGCAGTGGATCAGCTCTGAAAAGTGGAAAAAATATCAAAACAAAAAATAAGAGGACATGGCATGATAAGGAAAGGGAAAATTAACTGCTTTTATTTTTTTATGAGTATCTCCACAAAAAACATGCAGAACCAGGCCAGAATTGACCAAAACTTGCATTCAGACCCATAAGGTGATTTTCACTGTGAAATTTGATACACAAAAATCAGCATGATTTTGGAAGTGGAGAATGAAGATTTGTGCTTAAAATGAAACCTTAGCAACATCAGCATTATCCTAGAGCAGTTCTTCCTGCTGCAGCTGTGAATTTAGCCATGGTGTAGTGCATGTGGGATCCCTCAACGGCCTTGTTCAGAGGAAAAAAAGTATGAGAAGAAAAAGAAAAATGATTCTTCTTTCAGTAAGAGCTCATAATTTTCTGCCAGCCCCAGTTAATATATCCAAGCCTTGATTTATGTGTCTTAAAAATACGGAACAGCTCCCAAAGCAGACTGTGTCCCTGGAGAGAACTAGATGGGTTAAGGTTAAAATTCCTTGGCAATATTCAACCCTTTTAGGGAAAGAAAAGCAGGGTAGCAAGGCAGAATGAGAAGAGATGAACAGCAACAGACAGACTGACTGACTCCTTTGCCTTCCAAATTGAAAATGCTAGAAGTGCATTTTCCCTGGTAATTGCTGTATATCTGGCTATTTTGTCTAACATGAAGGTAAGAAAATTGCTTACTTAATTTGTACTGATGAAGTGACTATGGAAAGTGCAATGAAATATTAATTTATATGGAGAAATAGCTAAAAAAAAGTAATTGGACAGCATTGCAAGAAAGAAGAAAATTTAAAATCAAGCTTGCACAACAAAGCTGAAAAGTCTGTGTGACATTTTCCTTATATTTCTTAAGCTGACTAGTGTATAGATTGCAGAAACCTTGAACAATTGCATGACCTAAAAAAGGAAGGCAAAAGTAGAAAAGCAAAGTAAATTTCTACTTACTTCCTTTTTTTTCTCAGGTGCTGAGGATTTTTCTGCTGCTGGAAATTTCAGGCTTCTTTCCCATTTTTTCCAGGTGAATATTTGTTTAATAAAATACATGGTGAAAGTCAAGCATGTATGATTGTGGTGCTTGATGTGAGGCAGGGTTTCAAGGAGTCATGAGGTGTATTTCCTGGGAGAAATACAAACTGTTTGGTGTCAGCTCTGGCTTTGCCACAAGTGACAACCACAGTGAGGCATTATGGTGTCCTTCAACGTCTGCCTAGAGGAGTCAGCCATCCTTGGGGACGAGGGTACACAGTGGTGGTGTGAGGCACAGCAACCCATGTCTGTGAAGCACAGCACAGCTTATACCAAACCAGCCTGAGTCCTAGGGACAAGTTGCATCCCCAAAACCTCCCTTGGCAACTGGCAATTTGTTTTGTTGCTGATCTTTAGGCTAGGTGAATGTGTCTAGTTTCTTCTTTACATGGCAATAAAGGCCAAGCTGGGCCTGATTTAATTCTTACACATGAAAAGCAAATCCAAGTGTTTTTATAGTAAACCTGATCATACCCCCAATTATTATTGAAGGTTTGCTTTGCCTTTTAGGAAAGTTTCGCACTTGCGCTTATGGATGGAAATCCCTGATTATATTCCACTCCCCTTTCTTTTGTTTTTGTTTCTTTGGGGGTGGCGTGGGTGGGTTTTTTGTTGTTTTTCTTTTGATGTGGTTTGTTTTGTTTTGTTTGCTTTTTTAATACAAAAACCAATACCGGAGCAGCCCTTCTTCAATCCACTGCCGCTGGAATTCTTTTGGCCCTTGGTCCGAGTGCAATGGCTGTACGCAAAAAACAGGTATAGATGGACATATCTTTTCTTTATTCATAACCTCATTGACATGTACTTTTTCCCCCAGTAATTAAGAAGCCACTGAAACGTTACATCCCCAAATCAGGTGCTCAGACAAAAGCCCCAACAGAACAAGAAGGCCAAAGAGTAAAGAACTAAGATAAATCCTCCAGTCTGTCCCAATATGTTTCCAAGCTATGATGTTCATGTTGTGAAATAATTTGTGTTCCTTTTATTTTGGTGATAGTTTCAAAAAGCTCAGCTGAGCTGTCTGGTAAACACAAATATTCCTCCACTGATGATGGTTTGTACCAATTCCACTGATTTTTCATTAATGGTATCATGTCAAGGGAAGAAAACTTGGTTGCAGAGTGTTACCTTCTATTAAAACGAGTTGATTTTCACAATGCAACTCTGTAGATGTGCAAGACACTTTTGTTTGATTTTCCTTCTCATTTACTTTGATTTTACATCAATTAAAAAGTGAAAATTAAAGATGTGAAATGAGACAGTATTTACTTTTTTTAGAAATGAAAACTAGCCCACTGGATGTAAGATTTTATCATCTTCCTCATAGTTAGTCCTATTAAAAATGTAAAAAAACCACTTTAATTTCTTAGCAGCTTTCTCTTGACTTCAGTTACATATTTGATTTTTGAACAAATCAAGCCAAACTCGTGCACCAGTCTAAAGACATTAAAGACAAAAGCTGTCTTTCTATTAACTTGAGAGTTTGCTACCATATGGTGGTAATACCATGTAATACCAGGTGGTAATACCAGGTGCGGCTGTTCTCAAAAAAAATAGTGAATGTCTGGAGTAGTAGCACTGTCTTCACAGTAGCAAACTATTCTGGCTTTGCATCTGGATTTTCTAAGATCTCCTTTGATTTGCATTCAGATTAGGAGACGGACAGTGGCAGTTTATGGCCAGTATGGAGGAAACCCCTGCCCTGGGCATGCCTTGGAAACAAGACCATGCACCCCCACAAGGGGATGCCCAACAGAAGATGGCTGTGGTGATCGGTTCAGGTGTTTCTCAGGTACCATCCAAGACCATTTTCAATATTTTATACTTATGAGGTTAAGAAAATAATGTTTTTATCTTTCAACTTCAGTAAATGGGCAATGTGTTTGCAGTGTTCTTAATCTACAGATGAATTTGACTTAGGTGAATGTTTCCTTTGTTTTCAGCCTCAACTATGCATGATTTTAATTTAATCTGGAATATTGCAGAGCACTGAATATCATATGCTATAGCCCTGGTACCCTCTCTAACTCATTCTCCCTTACTTGTTTGCTCAAGAATTATAAAAAGGTAGTTAAGAATGCAACCTTACACTGATGTCTTGCAGTTGTTCTAGGCTATTTCCAAATATGAAATGACCTGGATCATGGAAACTAACGCTCCGTAAAATGTATCCAAGCAGCTCCCATTACCTTCTCAGAGGATCACATTATCTCTTAGGTAGATATTTATCACAGACGACCATGATAAACATGTTTTGGTACTACTAGGGTGCCAATCACAGTTAATCACCAAAGGGATTGGATCAAAAGGTGAAAGCTTAGGAAGCAGATCTAGAAGTCAACTGTTTCATTGATACATCACAAGTCTTGAATGGCTATGGCTCTCTCAAGTGTGCTATGTGCTATTTCTTTATGTCTACATATAATGCTTCACAAGCCCTCGTGGGCACAGTCTGTTCATCATGGGAGTGAATGTGCTAATTAATGTAGTAGATTAATAGGACTTCTGCTTTGATTTTAGGTGATCTATTTTTAAACTAACAAACACCTCTTTCCCCATACATGTTTGTCTGAATTTAGGTCAGTGCATTAGCAGATCCCTAGTGTGCAATGGTGATCAGGACTGTGAGGATGATGGTGCAGATGAAGATCGATGTGAAGAGAGGAAAACTGTATGTGATATTGAAAAAACACCTCTGAATTCAGAACTTACAGGAGCAGGGTAATGTTCTGTGCTAGGCTCAGTAATAGTGGTACCAAATATACTTACATTTTAATGTATTTGCAAGCTCTAGGTGTACAGATTTTCTGGGCTTATGGTGAAACATCCCATATGCAAAAGTGCTCAACTGCTTCCACCATGCCAGGGGTTCAGTCTAAATGTACAGGTTCTTTTACCTGAAGCACTGAATAAAGCTTTCAGTGTTTCGTTCCTGCTATTGAAAGACAGCTACAAAAATATTACATGAAATTTCAACTAGTAACACATGATCTTCAGCACGGAAAAAATGAGCCAGCAATGTTCATTCTTTTTGTTCATTGCTGTTGAATTTAGCACTCTAGATTCAAATGGATTTCTGTTTATACATCCGAACTGCAACCTAGCAAAATAATTGTTTTAAGTTTCTTTGGTGTTGATTTATCACTTGTAATGAAATACACCTCATATATAATAACCATCCCCCCTCCCCCATTTTGGAATGGACGCCCTGTTGTTCCTGTGTTGCAGTAATGGTTCAAACAATAAAACTTAAAATTAGTTGAGATAGATATAAATGTCTTAATCTATATACATAATGTTGTGTTAATTTTTGTTGACAAATCAAGACCAACTTTTCCCTTTCAATGCTGTAACATGCTATGCATACTGCAATTCTGCATGTATAAAAGTATATCAGGTGATAAGCCCATGGTTAATTCAGCCTGTGACCATGGTTTGCAGATACAGCAAATAATGGCTCAGTTATAATGGCTCAGTAATATGTCTTAATGACATATTTTTTCTTTTTGTAGCTTTGATATTATTACTGGTGAAACTATGGGAAGAGTCATTCATACAAAAAGCTTTGGAGGGCAATGCAGAAAGGTCTTTAGTGGCGATAGGAGAGAGTACTACAGGCTGAGTGAAAGTATTCTCGCTTATAATTTTCAGGTATGTTTCCATTAAGAATAACTTTGCATTTACAATCAAGATTAAAACTGGGAGAACGGTACAAAGCTTGCAGGGGCCTTTGGCAGATTTGCTTCCCTAGACAGAATTCATGACACCTGTGCCCTCTCTGCATTTGCTTATTATTTTGAAACATAAATTGATGTGTATATTGCTAAAATAAAAGGAAAAAAAAGATTAATTTCTTAGATGTGATTTCTAAATCTCTCACAGTTAGACTGAATGTAAAGCTAATCTCCTTAGCATAAGCAGTGACCTGAATCACCTTAAGAAGTGCTTTGAGGGGTGAAATACAGGGCTTTGGATGCTTTTTGTACATCTTCCAGAGATATTTTGTTTGAAGTCAGTCTCAGTGGTTTGGTTTGCCTCACATTTATCAGAAGCATGCCAAACAATCCAATGCATTTACATGCTTTTCCAATAGTATGCAGTACTTTTTATGAAATCTAAAATGGATTCAGCCTGAAAAACATATCAGCTTATTTTGCATCAGAAAGGCCTCGCTCTGCTCTATATATTATAGTTTTTAAATCCTACATTAAGGTCTTCATACAGATGTCTGTCTTTCACCTTCTAGGTTAAAGTTCAAAATGATTTCAGTTATGAGTTTTTCAATAGCACCTGGTCTTATATGAAGCATGTAGAGCGGTATGAAAATTCAAACAAATACAAGCACACAGAGAATAAAAATCTGCAAAAGGTATGTCTAGCTTGTCCCTGTAGCTTAGTATTTTGCATAAATATTTTCATTATTTTATTAATGTGCTTATGTAGTGAGATGAAAACGTTTGTTTTATAAACACATTTTTGTCACAATGTGCATGATAGTAAATATCCAATAAAACCTTTAAAAAGAGATCACTGGTTTGCTTATCAATCCAGAGGAGGTGGCTGCTGTTTCTACTTCCTCTGTCTTACCTATTTAGTAGTAATTTATTTATTTACTCCCTGTTTTTCTCCCTATTTAAGGAAGAAATCATTGGTTTCTTCTCATAATTGATTCATATTTTTTTCTTTGTTTCAAGTGGTTTACTGCCCTTTTTTTTTCCTGCTACATCTTGGTCGGTATAGTGGGGCAAAAAGATTGAAATATTTCTGTGGTTAAAATTAACTTATTTTATAATGCATTTTCCATTAGTAGAACTCCATTAAGAGGGAAATCTGGTGTCTTTACCAACCAGAAGGTCACAGGGCTTATGCCTTTAACTTATTTTAAAAGGAGCATTAGATAAATAATTTGAGAGTAATTTTCAATTATGAAGTACAACCTCTGTCTTAGAGAAAATAAAATCAAGTAACAAATGTATGCATTTTATGGCCCCCAAGCAGACACTAACAATGACATATTTTGAGACTCAGCATAACCAAGTTCAAAAGCAACTTTGAGAGTGTAAATTGAACAGTATTGTAGAGGCATATTGGATTTTATAATTAAGATGCATCCTTAAAATGTCTAGAATCCCTTACAACAAAAGCCTTACGTAGGCAAAACAGGGTGCAAAGAAAAACTGTACTGCCTGTGGTTTGCTTTCAGACAAAGCTTGTTAACCTTCTTCTGCCAGGCTTCTGATTCTGGAAGCCACCATTTTCTTTGAAGGGTGAGATCTCACTTGTCCTTATGCTAGTTTTCAAGTACACAGGAGTAAAAGAAAAATGTTGCAGCAATTATAAATAAAGGTCTAACCATATTGCATGACTTTAGGGTGTTCTTTTTGCATTTGTGTTGCTTAGACGTATCTAACAGCTCTATGAAGATGTTGGTTAGTTGCCAATAGAATATGTGTGCCATCTGGCTATGAGGAGCCACTCAGATAGTCACATGGAGCATGACTGATGACTTTTCCTTCCCCCAGGGTAAGCAGCTGATGGTTGTTGAGAACAGTGTGGAAGTTGCTCAGTTTATTAACAACCACCCAGACTTTCTCACTCTTGCGGAGCCTTTCTGGAAGGAACTGTTCAACCTTCCAGTTGTCTACGAGTACAGCATCTACCGAAGACTTATTGAACATTTTGGAACACACTTCTTACACTCTGGGTCTCTAGGAGGACATTACAAAGTCATTTTTTATATGGATACTGACAAAATGAAAGCAGAAGGTAGAGTAATAGAGTGTTTGTTGCAGAAAGCAAAGTCAGTAATCAAGAATAAAAATTCATATGTATGTTTTTCCAGCTAATGTCTAAAATCAAGTAACACACTTCTACAAGTTACTACATTCTCTTCATGGTCAAAAGAAAGGACACTAAAAAATATGCTTAAAAATATACTTAATATGCACTAAAAATATGCTTAAACCACAGCATTTAGTTCTAGATCCAGGTTTGTAACCTGTAGTGCTCTGGGTATATATATAAAAAAATTATGTGGGAATCCAGGGCTTCCCTCTCTTCTTGGAATTTGCAGAGAGCATGTGTGCTCTGTTCTTCTTCCTTTCTTTATTTTGTTTTTCTCTGCTGATGAAGGTTGGAGGTTGTTTGGTGTTTCTTCTTGTTCTTTTTGCTGAAGCCCATCCAGGGACGCCATTTGTCGGAATCTGTGGGTATTGGTGATTCCGAGATTGTAGAAAGTCTCTGTCTTTCTGCCCTGTTGCCAAAGAAGAAGCCATAATTCGTCTGTGCTGTTTTCAAGGTTGTTTATTCTTGCTTATCTCTAACATGTTCTGCTGCCCTGCCGCAGGTCTGTCCTGCAGGGCAGCGTGTGGGGCTCTGCCCCCAGTGGGATGTTATAAACATTATATACCAGAAACTACGTGTGCTATATTTACAATAATGTGCCAATATCTGTCACCTACGTTGAATAGTGTGTCCCCAGCCTAAACCAATAGAAAAATGCCAACACCACAGTGAAACATGGAGGGCATGAAGAAGGAGGAAAAGGACAAGACACACCCAATTCCTCCATCTTGTCCCCTCTGAACCCCTAATCTAGAAACCTAAAATTTTACTTTTGCACCCGTGTCACGCTTAATTATTACTCTCATCAAACACTCAAAGCTTGTAATTCATCCTGTAAGATTGAAAACTCCTCTCCATGGACAGAGATCAGAGACAGTGTCTCTGGGGGCTCTGTCCAGGGGGGTTCCTGACCCCTGCCAGGGTCCCAGACCTGCCAGGGCAGCCAGAGGGAAGCCCTGGATTCCCACAAAATTATAGTCAGTTTAGGGCCTACTCAGGCTGAACTTGAATATAACTATCAAACAATGTTAAAGTTTAAAGGCTATGTGGAGATCAAGGTTGGGTAAAACTGTGTAAAGCAGAAAAAATTGCAGAGCAAACCCCAGAGTGGTGCCTATAATGGTAATCAGTTGGAGCAGTGCTATAGAATTATGGACTGCTGAGAAAATAAATTATACTGTAAACTGTGTCCAGATAAACCTCACACCTCTGAGCATCCATCCATAAGCTTTAGCAATGCATGGATCTTCCCACCGTATACAAATGCTAGTTAGTTACTTCCTAGTTTAAGTGTAGTACTTCTTGACCTCTCTAGACAGTGGGAAACTTGGAAATGAATCCAACACACCTTCTCTGTACAGAATTGTTAATGGATGGATTATCTGCAGGTGTCAGCATAACAGACTTGTACAAGTGTACCTCATCAGGCTGGAATGCACTCATTGTGAAAAAGAAGAAGAAGGAGTGCACCAAACTTGATGAACTGCTACTGACTTCTTCAGGTAAATATTCCATGATGAGTCACACAGTTGTCATGTATCCATCTCTCATCTCATCCTAAATAGCTGTCAAAATGACAAGCAGGTGTTGATAACTTTGGCGAATTCTGTCCTAATATGCTAAACCCAGATGTCAAGTGCCTGGTTTAAAAGGCTTCTGGCTCTTGTCAATTATTGCTAATGCTTTCCCAGTAAATGGCACTTTTCTGAACACCCAAAGTTAGAGTTGCCAAGACACCTAAAAAAACAGATACCACCTATGTATGATCAGTGTAGGAGCTCTTGATCCAGGCACAGGTGGTTGAACTGCACCAGTGAGTCCTTTCACTACTTGCTAGCAGAGTTTTGTGTGTATTGTTTCTATTTCCATTTGTAAACATAGCAACACCTATGTTTTATGTATTTCCCGTCCTGAATCTGCAGGAAGCACTGGCAATAAAATTAAAGGAGACCCTTACATAGAAGGAGGAAGCCCAAGTGCTGTTGCTGCCCTTAGTTATCTAGACCTGGATAATCCTGCTGGGAACAGTCGGATGTACACCTTGTGGGCTGCATCAGTGACAGACTATCCCAGAGTAATTAAAAAAAAGGTAAGGCTATTCTCCTGAAGCAGAGGTAACCAGATGGGATCACCCCAAGAGGAGGAATTAGTAAACTACAGCTGGTGATTAATCATGCCGTGATCTACATTCATTTGTTTTCGGATCACTTTGTAAAAAAGGAAAGTGCTCAGGAAGAAAATGCTGTGAAGCTAATATGATCAGGTGCATCACAAATCTAAGTCCATTACAGGTCAATACCAGCCTTCAGTGAATTGAGTAGAGTTCTGGTTAGGAATAGAGGGTCATGTTAGCATTGGAGAAAGACCAGATTTCAGATAGCCCCTTTCCCAGAATGGATCTGGGCATGTCTGTGTGGCTTCCACTTCACTTGCCAACTTCTGGATACGCTTTTTACCTCTCCTCCTTCACTTTGCATCCAGAAGTTTAGCATAACTGGAGATACTCCAAGTCAGACACTTCAGAGCTGGGCATGGCCTTACTCACTGCTACCTCGTCTATGTCCCTTTTGGGAAGCATCCACATACTCAAGAATGGTATAAACCCCAAATATTTACGTTAGAAAGTTTTTGGCTAAAGTGTAAAAGCATATAATATAATAAAGTAATAAATTTAAAGGCAAAATAGTTTCAATTATTGTTACCGTTGATCACTGTCTGATGAAATGCCATAGTGGGCTCTTTAAATGTCCTTTCTTTATGCTGGGAACATCTGGGTGAGAATTCAAGTTACTGTGCATTGGTGGTCTATGTTGTACTTTTATCTCACCTGTATTCCTACAGCTCAAATACATTTAAACATGACTGATATAACAATAGCTTTAAAAGATGCTTTTAAGCAGAACTGGCTTTTCATAAAAAGCCTGATATTAAATACTAACATAAGATTTTAGCTAATTAGCAAATTAGAGCATCTAATGTGCTAACTCCCATGTACAGAAGCATATGCCACAAATTATTTTGTGTCATGAAGTGTGCAGTCATAACTATTTAATATGCATGTTTTCCTACTGTGTGTAGCTAACACCATTATATGAGCTGGTAAAGGAAGTGCCCTGCTCCTCAGTCAAAAAGCACTACCTGATACAAGCCATTGAAGAATATATGGCTGAAAATGATCCCTGCAAATGTCAGCCTTGCCAGAATGGTGGTGAGGCAGCTGTGGAAGGAACACAGTGTGTGTGTTACTGCAAGCCTTACACCTTTGGAGCGGCTTGTGAGCTGGGAACTCTCGTGCAGGACCAGCCAGGTGAGCACTCTTTAAACCTGTGAGAATTTAGAAGTGGTAAAATGTGCTCTCCTGCTTCCAGAATCTGTCTGTCCCACTGTACGCCCATGCAGTGGCTGCTGGGGTGAGACACCACTGCAAACAAACAGCATGGGGAGGTCATGCCATGCCTGAGTCTTTGTTGAGCATGTCTAAACAATCCTTAGCAAAGAGCTGGTTTTATTATTAGTGTGAATACAGTAGACAATACTAACTGCTCAATGCTACCATCTGTAAGTAAGTACATATCCTATATTAATAATCAATGACTTAATTTTTTTTTTCTTTTTAATTTTATAATTAGTAGTAGCTGGTAGCTGATTTTATATTCTCTCAGACACTGATAATAGATAGCCTCTGTGGAATTATACCTATGTCAAAGCCGGTTAAAGATGGAAGATGAGATTATTGCAATCTGGAATTTTCTGTAAGGGCACAGTTGGAGCCATTACTAGCTTTGAACAGCCTGTGCCTTTAAAACCTCTCAGTGGGAATGCTTTAAAGAGAGAGTGGTTTAAAGAGAGTGGTTTGCACACTAAACCAAATATTCCCAAATGTTACACAGATGTTGTTGATGGACATTGGAGCTGCTGGTCTTCCTGGAGTCCTTGTTCAGGGGGAAGGGAATCGAGGAGTAGAACCTGCAACAACCCTTCCCCACGTGGTGGTGGGAAGGCCTGCCTGGGAGAGCAGCATGAAAGCAGAGCGTGCGAAGATGAAGAGTTGCAGCATCTTCGGTAAGTAATAAAAAGCACTTGGAGACAACTGCTGAAAGATTTAAAAATTTGTCTCAGAGGGGTGCATAAACTATTGAATTCAAGGAGATCACTTAGTGAGCTTTAATATTTAAGTTGAAAGAAAATGGAATTCAGAAGCTGTGAATGTCTCAGTAGATAAGGCTAGAAAATGGGGTAAGAGCCAGTAAACTTGACAGCATTCCATTTACCATTCTCTTGGATAGCCTGGCAATGCCTGATTTCAATATAATTGTGATGTAAATGTACGTGTAAGAGTCTTGAAAATGTGCTTCACTGAGGAGTGTAGCATTTTGAAAGGAAGGAAGACTAAATTCAAACTAAACTGTACTTTTGTTTGCTTCATAGCTTGATTGAACCACACTGTTTTGATTTATCCATAAATCCTACAGAATTTTGTTCACCTCCTCCTCGCTTAGAAAATGGATTTGTTCAAGTGAGTTATTTCTATTTTTCTGTTATCTATTCCATCTCTACCTGCAATGTCCTTTCTACAGTTAATATGGATGTTCACTTGCAAATTTGTATTTCTCTTGGCAAGCTTAGCGTCTGGCCTAGTGAATAGCCACTCTTGCAGCATTTTTCACTGTCTAAAGTTTACATGACACAGTCCAAAACGATTAAAACTAAAAGTTAGATAAAACCAAAAAAGTCCCACCCTCAAAACCAGAACAAGATCTTTGCTTCTCTGGACCCTAGTACCTAAACAGAAAAGTCATCTACTTGTCCTTTCTTCCATATATGTATTAAAAATTTACTGAGCCACATGGATAACATATCAAATCACAACAAACTAGAGAGAAAAAATGCTCAGTCGCTCAGGAAATCCATAATGAAATTTTAAACAGATTTTAGTAATCTTCCCTCTGTAACTCACTATTCTGTTTTTTCTAGTGAAATGAAGACCTGGCAAGGTACTTGGCTCACCATTGCTTAAACCTTTTTGACAAGGGGGACTATTCCTCCCTTGGAGGAATGGATTATGCCTTCTTCATGTTATCAGGCTGTCACAAGTCTCTGTGTTCAATAAATAGATAAAAGGATTAGTTCAAAATTCATTAGTTGCCTCTGCACAACTGCAACCTACGGCAAGATCCAAAATCTTTTTTGTGATCAACAATTGTCTCCTACATTGATATTTTTTGGTTCACAAACTAAATATAAAACCCTGCAATTCATGGAGTAATCTCAATTTTTCATAAGATCTCTCCTTAGAAGACAGTGAAATATAAAGTGAGAAAAAAACCAGTATCTTCAAGTCCCTGTTAACCTTTAGAAAGCTGATAACATGCCATCCTAAAAATTGGCAAAGCCATATACTCTTCACTGATCTCCCCCCAGTCCAAGCCTGTTCAAGATCTTATCCTGCCCTGCTAATGTTTGATAACAGCCAAATTTGCACTTTGTTTATACACACCAGGAGAGCACTGTTCCATACCCGTTTTGATCACATTTAGTGGGTTGATAACCAGGATTGCCCCCAATATTCCAGACCCTCTCATCGCTGTGTTGTAGAGTAGCAATACTACTTTTCACTGTCCTCAGCTACTGCATTCCAGAATCAAAGAGAGTTCAGTGCTGCTAGTAGTTCTTGTATTTTATATCCAAAATTTCACATGTTTGTTTTCTTTCAGAATGCTGAAAATGCATATCCTGTTGGGAAAAACATTGTTTATGCATGCAAACATGGATATTCTCTTGTTGGTGATCCTGTTGCTAAGTGTCACAGTAATTTACAGTGGCAAGTTGGAGAGAGATATTGCCAAGGTATGTCTGACTGATTCTTGTTTTGAACTACAGCTCCATTTCTGAATTTCAATGGAACATCTCAGAACATCTGCTTTCCAGCTCCAATGAGGGGAGAAGACACACCTGTATTTCCCAGTTCCCTAGATATAATCAGGTCTAAATTGACTTCTAGTGTGAATCCAGATATTCTAATGCTGGATTAGAAACACATTCATAAAGTCTAGTTTTAAGGCCATCCCTGTGTGTACCTGGACATGTTCTCCCAGGGTCCCATATTGTGTGATATCCCTCTACTAGGAAGCTATTGCCTAGTGGGAACTGTCAACGGAAACTTGAGTCCTAAGGAGAGGGAAGCCCTCATACAGCTAGGGCTGCATGTCCAGGCAATAGGAGAAGATATTGTCTCTGTGTTCTTAGTTTTGCATGTTTGACTAGTGTGGTGAGTTAATATCCTGACTGATATGTTTCTACAGGAAAGTCAGCTAACCTCACCATTTAATTTTTTAAGGAGAAAATAAAATACATTACTACTTTATGCAGTCCACTGATTTTCTGTGGCTGTGTCAAATGCCTTAATCCACAGAAACTGCTTGTCTCCTGCCTGAGCTGGAGGGGGGTTTGCAAGGAGAGCCATGGAAACCTACCTACGAGATTGGTGAAAGAATAACTCTGTCTTGTCCACACGGCACACACTTGGAAGGGGCACACTCCATTTTGTGTGAGCCCAGCCTCAAGTGGTCTCCTGATGTAAAGACTATCCAGTGCAAGAGACCAGGTAAGCCACTGCAGTCCTCAAGGACAATGCAGGAGTTTCTTTCCTGGAGTTTCTTTCCAACTAAGCTTTATGTAGTTCAGGTATATACGGAGATATTGCTAAAATAGTGATAGAGAAGCCATACTTACATCACCAGCAAGAAGCACAGAAAACATGGGGATGTGTTTTCTGTGGTCTGTTCAAACAAGACACCTGAAGGCTTTTCATTGAAGTTTCATTTAGGCTTTTGCTTCCCACTCCCCTATTGCTATCGAGTGTTGTCACTGTTTTAAGAGATTGCCAGGGATTTATGCTGTCTATTCTGCTACCCAAATATGTTTCACTTTTCACACATTCTATAACACTAGCACCATGTGAGCTACACCTTAAGAGTTTTTCTATCTGGAAGCTGTTCCATGCACCAGAGCCTCTAGTGAAAGAGGAAGACAGGGCTGGGTTACTGCTTTTGCTGATCTGGCAATAAGGCAACTGATACAAAATAAATATCCAGGAACTGGAAGCAGCAGGAAATAGACTATATCTTCAGTTCATGCTGTTTAAGCTCTAGTTTGATATGGGTAGGCAGTGGCAGAAAGGGAAATAGGCTATAGCACCAAGCAGTCCTAAGTCATCTTTTCCAGCCAGGGAAGACAGACAAGAATGTCTCTTGAGCACTGTTGTGATGCTGATCAGTGACACAGAGGCACCCAAGCAGCTTATGCTTCAAGTGTGCCATATCTTCACCTGAGGTCCCGGATATTCACCTGGGGAGACCCTTGACTAGGGACAACAGTCACTGCTGCAGGAGACTAGGCATATCGCCTACATTTTTTTCTGTCCTCTTCTTATCAGCCAATGCTGCTGACATTGCCTCAACTGCAGAAAGAGGAAGGTGACAGTCAGGCTTAGACTTCAGAAGGCAGCAGTCCTGTGAGATTCCTGGTGTAAGTCATCTGTTGTCATAAACACATCAACAGGAACTGTAGTGATTTCTGAAGGAATAACATAGCTGTACATAAGTGACTTGCTGCTGCTGAATTGCCAGAGCAGCAGTGCTGAACTGCTGGTATCAGTTACTCAGGCTTAGCCTCAGAGACTGATTTTCATCTAGTTTTTGGTTTTTTGCTAACTACATATTCTCAAATTTCAGAAATAATTGGAAAGTTTCAAATGCTTCCATCAGAAAGAAAAACAGCTTATGTTTGGCTGTATGGAAGCATTATGTTAGTCCAAAAGTTAAAAAAATGAGGAACGACAATTGGATTAACAACCATTAAAAACTCAAGGAGTATGAGATAAGAAGGGTAAAAATTATGAAGATAAGTATTCACAGACACGATGGCATACATATGTTTGGATGGGAGTGTTTAGTCACTATGCAACCAACTACCCAGAGGATAAAGAAAATGCAGTAATTTTTGATGAAAATTTCCCCTCTGCGGGAAGACAGGGTAATGCTAGCTGTCTGTATCATAATGTACTGCAATTCTTACTTTTTTTTTTTTTTTCCTCTTCTCTGGTAGTTTGTCTGTTTTGCTTAGCAAGTCTTAATCTGTAAGAAAGGTGTTTTTTAAGGAAAGGCAAACAATCTGGAGTACTGAATTTTCATGTTAGCAGACAAGCAATCTGAAAAAAAAATCAGGAAAAAACCTCCTTGGAAATTGTGTCCGTATGGATTTAGCAAAGTTTTGCTGTTAACATGCTACATAAACCTACAAATAAATGTTTAGCAAAATTTGGAGTACAGCTCTGTACTTAAAGAATGGTACACCTGCAATCATGAAAATTCCCCAACACTTGCTATTATTATTATTTTAAAAGTTGGTACAAACTCAGGACTGATGATAGAACTTGTAATTTTAATTACTATCAGTGTATAAAGGTGTTTGGGTTCACAAAGGGTTTTGGATCCTTAGCTTTTCTAGTGACAACAGTGAAGTCAATAATTCTGAAACACAATGACAAAACTGTTCCCAGCTGTGATTCAGCAGTGCTAAATTTGGTAGAAACAAATAACTGTTGCAGAAATGAGATGAGTGTTTAAGTTTTAACATAGTACCTGTCTCTTTCCATCTGGCTGGCGACCCATGGGTAGATTACTGAACCGTAACTTTGCAAAGTGTATAATATATTTTTTAATACTGTTGATTACTCCCTGTAGTGGATACTTTTAATGACCATGTAGGGTGTGACTTTATGTCATGACTATATAATTCAGTGCCTTTTAAACTCAACAGATAATTTCATAGCAGATCTTTTTTTTCCTGACCCTCAGTATCTGTGTGTTCTTCTACTTCATGCCCAGTGTGAGAACAGAAGTGACAGAGCCTAAATGTCAGCCATGGGAGAAAGTATATCAGTCCACAATGTGTGTGCAAAATGCCCTATGAGTGTGGGTAAGTTCAAACTCAGTTTGGTAATTAGATTCTCACTTTACTCAAGACCAATTAATTTTTTTAACTTTTCAGAGAAAACTTTACTTACATGAGGAAGAGATGTACTTCGTTTGCTTTACACCTCAATCAGTGTTCTCCTCATTGACTTACCTGCCTTGTCAGAACTATCAGTGGGTTTTAGCAGTGCTGGAATTTGGTTGGATGAAGGCATAATTTTGCTTGATCTGTGAAATAGATGAAAAAAGATAAAATTATATTTTTAAGATTTAGAGGATTGAGGAGAAGTTAGAACAGAGGCCCTTGGGACACAAACCATCAAAGCAATAAACTAGTGAAATAAAGCAGATTTCTTTTCACTTCTGAGAGATTAGGGGTTATGAAAGACACAGTAATATAATTTCATCTCACATTTACACAGTAGTTTTCACAGATCAGTCCTGTCACTTTTCCTGACTTCATAACTTGCATATCAGTTTGCTGTTTCCTGTTTAATCTAAGTCTATATTCTTCAATAAGCAATGCAGAAGAAATAATGTAAGGAAATTAGTAAGTTTCTCAGTTCTTTGAGAAACACAAAAGGAAGAGAACAAAAATGGAGGAATAACAAGAAGACACCTGAGACCAAATGGCACTGATGAACAGATGTGCCAATGAGTTTAGCACTCCAGCATCTGGGTTGGTTTGCATAGGCTGGATGACATTTCCTGTCAAGTCACTCCTATAAAGTGGGTGTGGGCTCTAGAGATGAAATCTGGTGAGATTTATGTAACTGAGTTGAGTAGTTTGGAAGCTTCAGGATAATAGACCAAATAAGTCTTAGCCATGTGTAGTGGGAAGAAATTGTGAAGATGTTTCAAATGATTTCAAGGTAGAACTTCCAGCACAGCATGGGTACTTCCCATCAGACACATAGACCAGGAGTGCTCTGCATGATGACTCTGATTTTAAGGCAAGATTAGAACTCTGAAAATCTCAAAATTAAAATGGTGAGCTTACTTCAGATGCAGATCCACTGGGTAGCTCCCTAGAGTCAGAGGCCATTGTCCTGTGTGTAAAGGTAAGTGCCATGCTTGTAATAATGCTGCAATCTAGTTCTGTTGCTATCCTTACACCTAAATGCTTCAAGTGATCTGATCCTGCTCTTTTCTCTCAACAGTTATTTAAAAGGATCAACAACTCCTTTTCTGGTTTATGTATGTGTTGAGGTCAGTTACACAGAATACAGGGGAATCCAACAGTAACCTTGGAGGTTAAATTAATTCCATTTAGCTATGTATTGAAGCTTCATTTGTAATTAATCTATTGCTTGCCTGTTTATATTTTTTTATAATTATGTTTAAAATGTCAAGAATATAGATAACAGTCATTTCTGTTACCTCATGCCATCATTACACTGTCTTGAAATAATGCATCTAATGATAGAGGGATAAATCATCAGCTGTCAAAGCAGACTAATGTTCCAGCCCGCTATAAGGCTGTAGGAGTAAAGCGTGTAAACAGATCTTGGTCCGATCTTTCCTCAGAGAGCAGAATTAACTTGCATTGTTTTTCGCAGTGACTTTCAGCAACAGCCTCTTCTCTGAAGAGTGTTTTGGGCGAAAAGAGTTCATGTGGTAATCCAGGAAAACCATGGTTTCAGACCTCTCCTCCATCCTTTCACTTTCCAAGAGACTAGCTACAAAGACTGCCCATAACAGCAGAGGAACCCTAGAACAGCCTGGTAATTTGTCCCTTGTGGTAGGGTGCCTTAGGCTACATCTGTCCTCATCAATGAGAGCAAGGGAATGATCCAAGAAAATTTAGCTGCAGCAGAGCAACTAAATTGCTATAGCAGTTCTTGGTAGACCTTTGACAAGGGTCAGTTCCTGTATAATTCCCAGGCACAGCTTGGGAGTGACGAGGATGAGAGACCATTCCCATTCTGATGTAGTTCCCATCTTCTGGGGCAAAGAGGGACACCAGCTACTCTGTGTAAATTGTCCCTAACACATGGAAGGGGCAAGAGCATGGTGTGTTAATACAGATGGAACCTCAGCCTCCGATAGCTAAGAGCTCTCTCCACAGGAAACATATTGCCTCTTTTTTTTCAAATTTGTTTACAAAGCAGCTATGTCTCTCCTGAGAGTTTCTGGGCTGTGTTACATTAAAACTTCTCATCTCAAATGTAATTCCAGGAAGTTAAAATAATTCCCAGCATGATGAATTTTTCAGCAAAAGTTTCCTACCTCTTATTGTTGGTGAAAGGTAGCGAAGGTATTTATGGACTTAACAGATATTATTTAATTTCTCACAAGATGTGCTTCAGTAAAATATTGTTCTTATCCTTAACCTTATTTTGTCAGGTAAAAAGTATTGAATTTCTCACATTCACTTTACACAAGGACTATTCCTTGGCTCTAAAAAATTTTATTGCACTGATGTGCTATTCCCAACCTTGGAATTATACTTTCAGCAGTGAGTGCAAATTATTAATTTCTCTTATGAGTGAAGATTCTCTGTCCTTTCTCTTATGCATCTTAACATGTTGATTTCCACTGTCTTTCTTCTGCTGACCCAGCTGTAGCAAATATGTAAATCACTCTCAAGACAGTATGAGACATTGAACTCTAGTGGGAGTTTGGCAACATGGTCCCTGAACTCCTGGGTTCAAACTTTGGCAGCTGGTTAAATCAACTCCCTTTCCTCTTTTGGATGTAGCTAAAGTGGTGCAAAGCTGACAGATTAGTGCAGAGGTCTGATCTTAATGTTTTTAGGCAAATTAAACTGCCTTTTCTGTGAAACTTTGACCTTAAGACTAAGATTTACTTGCCCAAGTGATAACTTGGGATTTATCACTTCGGCAAGTAAAGAAGACATCTGAAGAATTTTAAACATAATAAAAAAAAATAATTACAGATTAAATACAACTGTTTTCCCTGGAACACACTTTGTTCTTTAAGATGATATATATAAAAACAGGGAGTTTTACTTATACTTTGTCTGTCTTTAAAGATAATTTTCACATAAAAATCAGGGCTCCACTATCTTAGGACTGTACAGCCAGATGACCAAACTGTACAATGCATGCAAGTGCACCTGTTTCCTTTATCAGGTGCCTGCTGCTATAAATCCCTTGGTTTGTTCTCTTGTGCCTCAGATTAAGAGGGTTAAACTCATTCTTTATATTAAAAAAGAGGATTAATGAAAATTCATGCAACAAACTTTACTCAGGATTTAGTAGCTGTCATTTTGACCCAGGACAGCAGTTAAGGGACCTCAGCTTGTGGGTGAGGATGCTAACATAAGTGGGAGAGATAATTCAGTTCATAAAAATATTTGGTCACTGGTGTATGCACCAAACTTTCAGGCTCAGCTAATGAAATCCATGCAATATTTTAAATACCTTAAAGATGCACTATGCTACAGGTATTTAAAAATTCTCTTAAAAGCCAGCTCTTCTAAAAGGCTTCAAAGTCATCTTTTTAAAAACCACTCCCACTGCTTGGAGAAGGCTCTTTTTCTTAGTGCCTTACTTATAGATCAAAACCTACTTCCTAATAAAGAGGAAAAAAAAAAAGGGAAAAAAAAAAAAGAAAAAGAAAAAGAAAGAAAGTTATCTTAATGCCTGACCATTAAGTCAGCAAGGTTTGAGTTCTGGCATTCTTACTAGACTTTTCTCTTCTCTCCTTCTACAGGCATTCCCCTTCCCTTCAGTGACCCTCATGAAGCTCATTAGGGACATTTGCCCATTCCTCATTAGGGCCATTTACCTGTACTTCATCAGCCTCTTATCCCCACCAAGTACCTGTTTAGCTGAGTATGATGTTCAGAACTGGCCTATTACACACCAAAAGTACCAAAAGTTTCAATGGAAATGTTTGTGAGCTTAAAATGAGGAGCTCTGCTGAAAATTAGGCTTTAGGTCTGAATTTCAAAGCTCTCCATCCCCTGGGAGCCTATCTCTGCTCTCTGGTACTCTGTGAAGTCCCTTACCTCTGCCTGTAAAGTAAATCCAGGAGAGCACAGGCATGCTTTGCTCCAGGTAGTCCCTCTTTTGTTCATTCCACACAAATACTGCTGATTGCATTGAGAACAAGAGAAGCTGGGAGTGCGAGATTAAAACTCAGAAATAATGGAAGGGTTTTTTTTCCCTCCCCTCCTACACTTGGAACATGAAACACAAATAATGACGACTTCCTAGAACTGAAGTAATGGAAGGGTATTTTATTCCCTCCTACACTTGGAGCATGAAACACGAATGGTGGCAACTTCCTGGAACTGTCCCCAAAGCAACCATTTAAGGTTGTCCAAGAAATGTTATTACCAGTTTTAAAAGCTCATTTATGTGGGTGTCAAAGCTCTATCCACATTTCAAGAAATAAACAATTTTTATGGGTAATTTTTTTCTTAAAATGTCTGTGGAGATATATGTGTATTTCCAGAAATATCTTTGGTTTCTGATGGTCGATTATAAGGTATTATTTAGTAAAAGCTGAGCATTTTAAAAGACAGCAGAATAAAAATCTTAAAGTACATTTGATCACCTTAAAATTAAGAAATACTTGTAAAATATTGTATGTGCATGTTTGTATATGTCATATATGTATAAGAAATGTTTTCTGTATATGTACTTATGTTTATGCATGTGTCTTAAAGTAGAGAATAATTGAGATCTGAAATACTTTTAACTGAAGTCTCTCTGTCACTGCTGCTGAGGTCAATGACAAAAAGATGATAATATCCCTGTCCTTCAGATGGGACAGATCTTGACTCTGCTGAGGTACAGCATGCTGTGGAAAAAGAAGAAGTCTGCACTGTCTGTATGTCTATGTCTTGAGTTCTTTGCTGTACTCTTAGGAGGTATTTAAGTGAACAGAGAAGTTGTAACTAGACTCTGAATGTTTTCCAGTCCCTCAGCTCTTTTTAAGAGTTACCAAGATAAAGCACATTTAAATAGTGCAATTCGTGTTTTTGTTTTCAGTCCTTCCCTGGACACTTGTGCTACAGATCAAAGAACCAAGAGACACACACCTTTAACTGTTTGCAAGATGCATGCCTTGGAGTGCATGGGCAGAAAATACTCTCTGACTAATGCAGAAAACTGCAAAGTACCCCAGGCAGCTGAAATACCATGTGGATCTTGCCGTTCATGGGAAAAATGCAATGGTAAGAGATTCTTCACAACTGTAAGCAAAATTGTTCATATGACCAAATGGAAATCCTTATCCCCACTTACACATTAGTAGTTGGGCAGTTGGTCTGTCCTGGTATAGTATCTGCAGTCCCTCCCAGAAGAACCAGGCATTGCTAAGCTGGCTCAAACCATTAGCCAAACATGTTTGGTATCCAAACATGACAGGAGTCTTCCACCAGGGAAAGACAGCCCTGCAGGATATTGTAACAAATTGTACTATGTACAGAAAAAGCTTATTCCTAGTCCCTGTTAAGTGAATCATCCTTTTGGTCCACTTTCTCCTCCGGGTGAAACCCCTACCATACTCTTTTTCACTGTATCTATCTGTTCAGATTCCTTAAAACAGCATTGCAGGAACCCTTACTGCCCACGGGTGTAACTAATCTTTTCTTGAAATTTGCCAAGCAGTCTCCCCAGCAGGATCCTGTGGTTAGAAATTAGAAGTCTTATTGTATGCTGGCTGGGAAAGCCAGTTACTGTTGTAGGTTTATACAGTTTGTTCACTGTCTATGCCCAGTTTCTCATGTAATGATTAAAGGTGAGGTCTCTTCCCTCAGAGGAAATAGTTCCTGTTTTTTGTAATCAGTCTGCAGTGGAAGTTTTCAAATCCCTGATTTATTTTCCCTGAGTGTCCTATGCTACATTGCACTTAATGAAGGGTTGCCAGGAATGGAAATATGAACTAATAAATTAGGGGTTTAGAAGTGGCCAAGCTAGAGGCACGATTACTGTCACAATTTGAAAAGAAAAAGGATTACTAGATAGGACTTCATCTGTTTTGTCTAGCAGGGTTGAACAGACAAAAATGATAACAAGGAAGTCAAAACTGTCTGGAGCTTCAGCAAAGACAAACACGGGCAAAAAAATTGCATACAACACAAAAAAACCCCAACCAAACAAACAACAACAAAAAAAAACCAAAAAAACCACAGTTATGAAAAATAAATATCCGGTGGAATCTTCTTACCTGAATGTCACTGATACAGCTACACACATTTACTTATAGGAGTAGATTCTTTGATCTTCATGAAACTATCTGTATGAAAATATAGATACCAGTTGTAAGAGTTTGCATGATCAGTTTCTTAGTGTCCAAAACCAAATTTCGCATCTTACATGATGATAGTAGATCTAGGATAGTGGATACATGGACCAGTTCAAGAGTTAACATCAGAGAAGGTTTTGAGACACCTTGAGCAAGTTTTTCCCACAGGCATGATCAGCCTCTCCAAGCAGAGGAAGGCCCAGCAGTCCACAATTTGTTTCCACTTCTAGTTTTTTCACTAAGTCTGAATATCAGCTAATGTTACTGAAAGAATTAGGGAATTAGGTTAAGGAAAGAATGACAGGAAGCTTTGCATTGGAAGGGACTTGTAAAGATTGTAAAGATCCTACCCCCTTGCAATCACCCAGGATGTCTTCAACTAGGCCAGGTTGCTTAGAGCCCTGTCCAACATGGTCTTGAATGTTTCCAGGGATGGGCCTTAACCATCTCTCTGGCCAGCTTGATCCTGTGTTTCACCACCTTCATCCTAAAAAATTTCTTCTTCATATCTGCTCTGAATATGGTCTCCTTTAGATTAAAACCATTACCTTTTGTTGTAGCATTGCACCCCCTATTAAAATGTCTATCCCTGTCTTTCTTATAAGCCCCCCTTTAGATACTGGAAGGTGCTATAAAGTCTCCCCAAAGCTCTCTCTTCTCCAGGCTGAACAACGGTAACTCTCTCAGCCATTTTGTGTAGGGCACTCCAGCCCTCTGATAAATTTTGTGGTTTCCTCTGATTCTGCTCCAACAGGTCCATGTCTTTCTTGTAAAAGCTGAGCACCCTCCAGAAAATTGCTTTCAGTCCTATAGATTTCCTTGTCTGGGGTTTTTTTTCTGGTGACATGGTTGCTATCCTGAGTGTTTTTCCTCTGTGGTTTTGCTTAGTGCCATCCAACATCTGTGTTTGTGATGAAGATCGGCTGTGTGAGGAGGGAGGTGCCCAGGTCTGTGCTGAAGTGAGTGGCTCTGCTGCCCGTCGGACCATGACCGAGTGCGAGGTTGGGCTGCTCAGGTGCCGAGGGGAGACTGTCATCCTTGTCAGCATATGGCCCTGTGATACACAGAGTAAATAAGATATGTTATGCTTTATTTTGCTTATTGCTGGAGGATATGTCAAAAATGTGTCAGCTCTTGGTCAGGACATACTTTGAACCTTGCTCTGCCAAATGGAAGCTCTGCTGTGAAATCCATCAGAGATTGTGCATCTGGTCAGCTCTAAATTCAGATCTGAATCAAGGCCTGAGGCTCTTTGTTAGACCAAGATGCACTTGTCACAACTGCTCACAACAGAGCTCTTACTTAGGCACCAGCCTTACTACTGGCAGATTTGCTTCATATTTCCATCAGAATTAAAAAGTATTGCTGAATTGTGATTGCCAAAGTAGCTATTATAGTGATGGATTACCATGTCTGACATTGTCAATATGCTTTTCTTAAAGCCACACAAACATATGCTTGCACTGCATAGATTTAGATTACCAAAACATACAGATTAAGCTTCACAGAGTAAGAGGTATGATTCTTCTCTTTTAATAAAGCAGCTTCTTTCCACCATACACTACTCAGCTGAGCAAACAGACTGCATGGAACTGAACATGTTCTTGAGCCTCGCATGAGACATAAGACTTGAGACACACTCAAATGTCAAAACAATGTGCATTAATAGTAAAGCCATATTAAAGTAATGAGAATACATCTATGCTTGCAGCTTCTTATACATAGAACCACTTCATGAAAAATCACCATTATTATTATTATTATTATTACTACTATTAATATTGTAATGAGCTACACCTGTAAGCACAGGTAACTCAGTTACATTTCTCACATGCATTTATGTTTGTGCCAAGGCTGGTTTCTTACAGACAATTGTACAAAGAGGTCTTCTGCCTTAGCAAAATTTTCTCAAAGGCACCTATTAGAGAAAACACATCTTTACAGCAATGAAGATGTTCTGCATGCAGTCCCCTTGGAGATACCACTGGATAATCTTCAAAGATTATTCCTGAATAAAAGAAGTCTCCTACACTCTTTCCTTACAGAGCTAAGCACTCTCTCTGGCATAGCTGGACCATGACAACTTTGCTAACATATTTCAAGTACATTCAGGTACCCGTGCTGGCAGTCCCATCCCTTCTGACCATTCTTGGATGCAAACAAGGACAAAGGGCTGGATACCAAGTGGATGTTCAACCAAGTGCAGTACCATCAACATGTATTATATGTATGCATGCTTTCAAAGCAACGGATTTTATTTGTTACTACCAGTAATATAGTAAGATAGCATCTCTTGTTTATCACGTTTCTACCAGTAGTTTCCATGCATAAACCCTACCCTCAGCTGGATAAAGCTTTGCTTTCTTTAATGCTGGCAATAAAGAGTAAGCCAGAACAGGAGTGGCTTTCCTTGGAGACTCTTTCTTGTGCAGGTAGCCATGTTGGAGGGGAAGGTTGCCGCACGCTAACTGAAAGGACCTCCTGACCTTTATAACCTTTTCCAGCTGTCTGGAAAATAATATCAGTTGTGGGTTTTGGTTATTTTTTCTTCTTGAGCAAATAATAAATTTTTGTGAGTAGCAAACAGATGAAAATAAGTAGAATAAAATCCAAATTAATTTAGTCAGCTATTTTGTCTATATAATTTGCTCTGGAGTAATAAATAGTAGTTTGTAGAGCACTCAGATGTTTGGTTACTTGATTACTCTCAAGTCTCTTGTCCACAATTTCTAACCTTTTTCTGGTGGTATTTATGTGATTGGACCATGAGTCTACTGGGTAGCAATAGCTTCTATATCTGCTCAAGGCAAGAAAAAAATCATGTGGAAATTTCCTGATAGATAGCACAGAGATATGGTGACTTGGTGATTCATGTCTTCAAACACGGGGAAATGTGGAAAACCAGCACAGAGCCTCAAGAAACATTAAGAATTCCTGTTTCAAAGAACAATAAAGTTGCCAGATAATCATCTCAATACATCAGCAGGAACAGCTCTCCATGTCCATAAAATAAATTAGTCTGAGATAAGGCAGCCAAAATATTAATGAAGGCTGCATTTCAGATGCTTCATGCGGTCCCTGACATTTCACTGTTTATCTGAACCATCTGAATACTTTTTCTCTTTCCTTTTTCTTTCTACTTACCCACTCCATCTTTTCCCCTCCTACTTCTAAGCCAAGTCAGCTTCTTCGCTGTGGGCTGCTCACAGGCACATTCCCTCCTGCTGCCGGAATGAAGGTGTCCAGCAAGGATCTGCTCTCCTTCCTACTGTGATGCCACATTCCTTTCCCTGCCTGACTTGTGACTTCCCTGCCACATCAGGGGCATTTCAGTTCCATTACCCCTCCTGAAAACCTGAGTACATCTTACAGCATTTTAGATTAGATATTATGGGCTTTTGTTTGTTTTTAACCAACTAGCTGGCTCCCTAATGCTGCATGGGAGGAAATGTAAGAAGTTTTCTCAAAGGAATATGACTATTCATTAAAAGAAAAACAGGTTCATGTAGGGGGTACCAGTGTCTGGGAAGGGATCTTGACACTGTCCAGGTCACAGGTGTCTGGGATGACACTGTCCAGTCACACAGTCATTCCTATGGTATGCATGTCTGCTGGTCACACTGTCCCTTTCAGTATAGAAACATCTCCAGTCACTGTGGTCCACCATACTGATATTAAACGGAAAAATACATGCAAGAATTTTTTTCTCAGTAAGAAACCAAAATCAGATGAATGAGTGTCAGATGAGGGGAAAAAGAGGGGTACCATGGTTCCATGGAATCATTAAGCTTAGCAAAATTATCTAGCAGAGAGTGATAACCCCCTTTTTTACCTGAATTGAATGACCATGCATTTTCCCTGTGACCATGTATCAGGATACTTAGGAGGAGTTTAATATTAGATGACCTGAGCTTTGAACAGCTGTGATAGATTAAATTTAACTCAGATTGATGTAAGCCAAACAGATCTAGGTAGGTGGTGTTGGAATCTGTGGGTATTGATGATTCCGAGACTGTAGAAAGTCTCTGTCTTTCTGCCCCGTAGCCAAAGAAGAAGCCATAATTCGTCTGTGCTGTTTTCAAGGTTGTTTATTTTGCTTATCTCTAACATGTTCTGCTGCCCTGCCGCAGGTCTGTCCTGCAGGGCAGCGTGTGGGGCTCTGCCCCTCAGTGGGATAGTACAAACATTATATACCAGAAACTACATGTGCTATAATTACAATAATGTGCCAATATCTATCATCTACGTTGAACAGCATGTCCCCAGCCTAAACCAATAGAAAAATGCCAACACCACAGTGAAACATGGAGGGCATGAAGAAAGAGAAAAAGGACAAGACACACCCAATTTCCTCCATCTTGTCCCCTTTGAACCCCTAATCTAGAAACCTAAAATTTTACTTTTGCACCTGTGCCACACTTAATTATTACTCATATCAAACACTCAGAGCTTGTAATTCATCCTGTAAGATTGAAAACTCTTTTCCATGGACAGAGATCACAGACAGTGTCTCTGGGGGCTCTGTACAGGGGGGTTCCTGACCCCCTGCCAGGGTCCCAGGCCCTCCAGCGCAGCCAGAGGGAAGCCCTGGATTCCCACAGGTGGGGTAAGCTTGTTATCCACACTGTTAAGATCATCTGAGACTAGTGACTCGGAAGATATCACAAACTGCTCAGGCAAAAGGCTTGCCTATTGCAGAGCAGCAGGTACAAGAACAGAATGTAGGGATTGAAGGAATTCAATCTCTATAAAACAGGAATGCTGAAAAAATTCCTCCTAGTTAACACTATTTGGTAAAGATATCAGAATGTGGGATGAAATTCAGCCTTTGTTGCTTTCTTGCAAAAAAAGGTGATATTCTAAGCAGCAACACTATTAAAACTTGTTTTTCTAGGAATTTATTTTGGTGTAGATAATCGGAGTAATAGGAAGTAAGTCTGCATTGTGTCTGTCCCCTTGGGGCAGACATAGGAGAGATCTTCCTCTCCCCACCTGCCTATTTTCGTGAAAGATAATGAAGAATCCATACCTTTCAGATCTAATGATGCATTGCATGTTTTTAAAAGATAAACTATAGGTTCATATACTATTGAAGGGACCACAAAACTAGACTTCTGCTCAAATAACCATGTGACAGGTTTCCTTTGTGAAATATGACAAGCTGGAAAAAAAAAAGGAGATGCCCTAGAAGTGAAGGTGGAAGGATACACCAGGACTATCACAGAGGAGTAGTGCTGCAGGTTAAGCACAAGATGTGGAATATCTCCAGGCAGAACAGCAAAAAAGCTAATAGAAACCTAGGAAGGAATAAAACTTTTCTGATATATTTTTTTCCTAAATTTTGGGAGCAAAAATTTAACATCTGCAGAGTTATAAGGAAATTTGTCTGCCTATACGTGAGTGGGAGAATCTTCCCAAATTCCTGCCAGATGGAAGTCCACCTGCATAGACAAGATTTGGACCTGTGTATATCTGGAGACTAACTGAAGGATAGCATGGCTACCAACCTGCTATTGTTAAAGTAGTAATAGTAGCACTAGTAAAGTGAGGTATCCTTTGCAAATCTCTTTTTCACTGGAGACTGTAATTTCTTCAGTGTGCTTCTCCAGGCTCCTTGAAGCTCATCCACTGAGACCCATAGGCATCCTTTACCTTACAGAATGAGAGATGCATGAAGGCAGGATGCTGTGATTCCCTGATTTGCAGCCCAGGGCAAGACCCTTGCAGGTGAAAACAGAGCAGCAGTTTAGTGCCCTGCCCAAAAGCAAAAACACCATTAACTGAAAGAAAATATTTTGAGATAGAACATACTTTGAAAACTAGAAAAAGCTGTCAAAAATAACATTTACAAGATATATTTTTCCCCACCCACTGAGGAAGTCCCTTTTGTCCCTGTTCTCTTAATGTGTTCTTTAGACAGCTTTTGCCAGTGCACTTCCACTCGTCCATCTCTTCTTGCAGGGCTTAATTTGCTGTTTCCCTTTGCTTGCTGACCCAAACACCGTCACAATTTCTTTACACTGATTATTTTGCCAATTTCTTTCAGTCTGAGTGCTGTTGCATCACTTGTTTCTTCATTCTCTCTCCAGCCCAAAGATAATCTTATTCAATAACCTCCTGCCCTGGTCTCACTCCACCTAAAGCCATTGCATCACCACGTTCATAATGCTGTTACAGACCAGCTCCTTTCCCACCACGCTGTGGCTCTATGATGAACTGCCACTGTAAGTAACAGCAGAGCCATTACTGTGTATGACAGGGGGCACAGGAATATAAACTGCTATTGTTTCTTTCTCTCTCTACTGGCAAAACACAAAGAAGTTTTATTTCTGACCAGCAGAAGAATGCTGTTGGCACACTGGATCTTCTGGCTTAACTCAGGAGACATGCTAATTGCTCATTGCTCAGCTTCTGAGACCTGCTCTTCTGCATGTCCTCCTCAGGTGGCTGTTTCACTTCTTGTGGTCAGGGGCCAGTGAGCAGAGTTCTATGTCACAGCATGCAAGAGAAAACTATCAACACACTTTAGCACGTCTCCAAATGGATTTTTATTATGCAGCCTTGTGTGAATATGCAAAGTAACATTTAGCATGAGATAAGCAGTAGCAAACAGCTGCCAGCAGTGCTTTTGGTCAGTGATTGTTTAACAAGACTTGATCAGTAGCTTCTGGTAAAGCAAAGCCATGGTTTTATAATTTACTATTGACATCAATTACACCAAGTGTTTTAAAGTGATTGTATTATTCACTTTCTGAATAATTACGCTATTTATGTTGATAACTGAATTTGCTCATACTACAGGCATTATTGATCCCAACAGACAGCTAACCAACACAAGCAATGTTTCTTTCATTTTGTGAATTATTACTTTGGTTATCAAATCTTATGATGAGTAGAAGCTGTGTAAATACTGGGATGTACATAAAGCTGGTTATAGCATTCTACTTGTGCAGTTAGTCCAGGCTCATGTAGAAGCAAAGGCTGCTGCAAATCCTCTCCAAATAGAAAAAGATGCCAAAGCTGGCATATCTTGAGTGAGAGTGAATTTATTTACATGCTCTCCCAGGACACATACATGTTGATACAGACCTGAAACAGGATTGTCATCTTTATTTCACTATATACCATTGTTCCCAGGACACACATACTGGATAATGTCTTTCTCAGTATGCAAAGCTCCAACCAAGATGCAATCAAACTTCTCCTGATCCTTCAAACACTGACTGTAGCAAGAGGGAGAGGTATTGTGTCTCTCAGAGGGAAATTTTAGGAACATTATCTGCAGAATGATTATACTTTTTATTCTTTTTCTCTCACTACATTATTTCTTCTACTAGATTTTATGGAAACTCACAAATAAAGTCTCATTCTGAGACAACTGGATCTGTGTGAATCCCAAGATAGTTTTAGGCTATGTATACCAACTCTTCCTGCTCTTTAAGCTGTCTAGACACAAGATAGCCTGGTCTGGAGACCATGTAGCTTCACAGGGGAAATATCTTGGCTAGCTAATAAGCACTGAGGAGGTTGGAATGGATTAACGTGAACACCGGGCAGCGCTTTGAGACTTCAGCCATCTTTAAGGTTGTTAAGAGGTGGCACAAATAAAGACCTGGGGCCAGCAGTGCCAGCCACAACTGCAAGGACCAACAAGGACTGACTGCTTGTGTTGTTTTGCTG